CTGTTTCCATTATTCGCCATAAATTTGTTTCCTCGCCACGGCCAAACCGTTCGAGATATGAAAAATCCCCTGGCAATTTTTCATCCTCAATGTCTTGACATCATGCTGACCGAGTTTCCTTGCGATTGGTTGAATTCTCTAGGAGGAGTATATCGAATTCCAGGGGCATACGCTTCCAAACAAACCATAATAGCCGACTTCCTGTTGGGCTGGGGTATAAGTAAAAGTACAAAGGATATATGAACCGATGAGATCTATATGTGTACCGAGTTTCATATTATTACATGGAAGCGTGTTTGATTTATGGACCAAGTTTTCGGACCCCGTTCCAGGGGGCGCTGTCGAGCCCCCCTGCCACGCCCGGGTACCAGCTTCAGCCCGGCCCTGATGGCCGCGGGTTCTGACCAGTGTGCAAAGTTTCAAGAGTTTTCGTGCACGTTAAGAGCCCCAAAAGTGCCCGAATAGTCGATAAAATAATAATAATAAATATAGCTGCGAGCAGCGATTACGGGCCCAAGCCGGTGGCACCGCAACCCCGGTGCCTTTAGTTACCTAAAGGCACCGGGGTGGCGGTGCCGCCGGCTTTGGCCCTTCATCGCTGCTCGCAGCTATATTTATTTATATATATATATATATATATATATATATATATATATATATATATATAAAAAGCCGGTGGCACCGCCACCCTGGTGCCTTTAGGGTTATTGTGCACGACGTGACACAAAATATCTGCTCGCTATCTGCCGAACGGCTCTGGTAGTTCCGCTTCAGCACTGATGATGTTGTAGAAATAGTGCGTTCTGGTTGGTCTGGATTATTCGGGATTTTTTATTTTATACAGAAATAAGTTATTTATAATTCAGATGAGAATAAAGTTAGTGTTGATTAAAATTAAGGAAAACAAATATATTGATCTGAAATATAGAACATTAATTTTAAATTTATTTAGGTTCAATTACCAAACATACAATCTTAATTTAATTTAAAGCAAACAATACATTTAAAATATATTGGTTGTATGCACTTTTTTTTATAAAAAAAAAGATATATATCCAAAAAGACAAGGCCTTAAAGGGTTAAACTCTTGTCACTGTAACAGACACAATCTCTCTCTCTCTCACACACACACACACACACGTCAAGTCACTTACATTTTAGATGCAATATTGAATAAGCAGAAAAATCGGATTTTCTGCTCTGAAAATATAAATAAGCATAAAAATTGAATAAGCACTTTGAATATTCTAAACAGAATAAGCACTAGTCGCTAATGAATAAGTACTAGTACTTAATGGAATAGATACTAGTATCTAAAAAATAAGTACTAGTAGCATGAAAATAGAGACTAGTAGGTTAAAATGATTAAATGTTAAATCGGCTTGCCATATTGGCTCAGAGAGAGAGAGAGAGAAAATTACCTTTTAGATACTAGTACCTATTAATAGATACTAGTATTTATTCAATAAATACTAGTACTAAGTCATTAGATACTAGTACCTATTAAATAGATACCAGTACTTATTCATTAGCTACTAATACGTATTCAAAAGAATATCTAAAGAATAAGCACTAGTATCTAAAGAATAGGCACTACTACTAAAGAATAAGCACTAGTCGCAAATGAATAAGTACTAGTACTTAATGGAATAGATACTAGTATCTAAAAAATAAGTACTAGTAGCATGAAAATAGAGACTAGTAGGTTAAAATGATTAAATGTTAAAGCGGCTTGCCATATTGGCTCAGAGAGAGAGAGAGAGAGAAAATGACCATATTCAAACCACAATATATGACTTTCTGAGAGTCGGAGCTAATTACTTTAAATTAGAAAGTTGTTCGGCTTGAGGAGAAGAATATACACGCTGAGTTTTGTAACTGTAGGTAAAACTAACTAAGTTATAACACACTTTATATGTCCTTTTTTAGTCATGAAAATGAATTTCCTCTCCGCGGCCAAACCGTTCGAGATATCAAAAATCTGTCCGCAATTTAGCATCCTCAATGTCTTGACTTCATGCACACCGAGTTTGGCAATGATTGAATGAATTGCCTAGGAGTAGTACTTCAAATTCCACAGCAAGCGTTTTCCAAACAACCCATAATAGCCGATTTCCTGTTGGGCTGGCGTAAAACTTGACCGGGGGAAAGATGTTCGGCCCGATGAGATCTATATGTGTACTGAGTTTCATATTAATTCATGCAAGCGTGTTGGATATATGGACCAAATTGTTGGACCCCGTTCAAGGGGGCGCTGTTGAGCCCCCCTGCCACGCCCGGGTACCAGCTTCAGCCCGGCCCTGATGGCCGTGAGTTCTGACCTGTGTGCAAAGTTTCAAGAGTTTTTGAGCACGTTAAGAGCCCCAAAAGCCCCTGAAACCTTGAACTCCATTAAAAACAATAGACAAATCCCTCACACACAGAGACGAAGAGAGAGGGAGAGAAAATTCTCAGAAACATCCACATTCAAACTAAAATATCCGACTTCCTCTTGGTCTGA